CCGAAACTTCATATCAGTCAACTTATAAAACATATATCAATGTATATCCCATTTACGCAGATTATTTTACCTGGCATTTCTAAAACTGGAGTTGTTGAAAATGAGGAGTGCTATGGAGATTAGCATCCCAAGAAAAGCGAAGATGGAGAATGTGAAGAACACAGGGGGCTTCAATCTGTCCAGCTCACTTCTCATCTCTATCTGGTCACGCGGCGCCTGGTACTTGACTGAAACAAGCAAATCCTTCAATTTTTAATTGCAAATTTCAAACCAAGCTTTTGATTATGTCTCGAAACAAAAGCATAAAACGCCCCAATTTTACATTATTTCAGCTACAAACTGAAAACCAAATGTCATTCAATCATCATTAAAGAGATTTTGTTTTCTACTTACCACTGAATGGCCAGAAGTCGTGATCATTCTGGACCATGCTGACGTCATAGTTCTCAGTGTGGGAGCCATAGTCCAAGTAGGAACCATCTGAAATCAACTACTATTATTCGTCACACTACATTATATTAAGCATTTTCACATATAGAGAGCATCCTAGTCATTACACCAAGTCATCCCCTAGAAAAGTCACTAAAGAATAGCATGCTAAATGAACATTTTCTTTTTTTTTTGGTTTCACGTATAATTGTGGGTAGAATCATTAACGAACTAACTGCTCATGAACTCTATGGCCACACTCGACACTCTGTCACCCGCGAAGAAACTCACGTTGCCCTGAAAACAAAAAAATTAACGTATGGAAACCGATGAGTGTGGTGCAAATGAGCTGAGACAATTAGACATCTCCATTCATGCTCACCGATACTCCCATGAAGTTCGTCCTGTCTAAATTCCTCTTCAACAACGAGAACGCATCTTTGCTCAACACAGTCACGTCTCTGATTGCTTTGAACTCCTCCTCAACGCTCTTTCCTTCATTCTTCAATTCAACTATAGTTTTGTTGATCGCAATGGCCAGAGCCCAAACTGCGTCGTATGCTAGAGGCGACTCCGGAAACCCTCCCGAATTCTTTCCAGCCTTGTCCAATTTGTCCAACAATTTCGACTGGAAGTGCAGAGGTTTCTAAATGGAGAAGAAAATCAACTACTAGGCCTTTATTCCAAGCATAACCGTTAATTTAAATTAGAATAATTACACAGAGGCAAAAACTAGCTCTATACAAAAATTAGCTGTATAAAGTGCAATAAGAAAAAGTAAAAATAAAATTCGAATGAGTAAAAACTCGGAACAAATCTCGGAACAACTGCGACCTAGAGATTATGATTCTCACACACTAACCACTCAGCCACGTACGCTTAATAAATTACAAACAATCCACAAAAAAGCAGAAAACAAATGCTGTGAAACTTCCAGCTACACATGGTGATTATAGCAAGAGTGCCACCAAATAATGAACACTTTTAATTGCGAGTTAGGTTAGAAAAAAAAGAAAGTTCGTAGTAATACACTACGCTGTCCAAGTGTGTAATTACGATAACAATTTTTAAAAATCAGAACCAAGAACATGATTAATAATGAAGATGATCAACTTTCCCAATTGGGGAAGCAAGATTCATAGCTAAAATTTTACTCCTCGTATCTTCAATAAATCAATTTCGCCTTGCACATTTCAACTTACAATTCCGGAGAAAGTGGGAGAATCCTCTGATCCCAGTTGCATGATCTCAGTCGTGAAGTGCCCTTCGGTAGCCGCACGCATTTGCTCCAAAGTACAACTCAAATGTTCGTTCTTCCGCGGGTGAAACCAGTTGTCAGGAAACCAACCCAGAATGAACCAGACTATTTTTGGCCCATACAGACCTGCTTTATACGCTTCACAGAAGACCTGACGCGCTACTGTTTCGTAGAAAAGTCCAACAATAACCCGTGCATCTTGAGCCTAAAAAGTTTAGTTATTAATCAAAATATAGTTTTTTGATTTTTTCACATGTAAGGTCTTTTCAAGCAGCTCTCTGGGCAAGGTATTCGTATCTTGGTGAAATTTTTTTGCACTAATTTCTGAATATCACAGTAAAAGCTGAAACTACAGCTAAAAGTTGAATTCAAGCTACCTTGTATCATGATAACACACTTTTTTGACTTCCTAACACGCTTTGTTTGCTAATTATGATTTCCGGGAACTATTGCAGAGGATTCTCACCAGAGGTGTTTCAGAGCTACTTGCCTTCAGTGATTCGATTGCATTCTTAGGATTGGTTTGGAATGTGGACCTCTTCACGGCGATGCCATGCTTTTTCCCCTGTTGGGTCAGATCATCCGCTGTCTAAAAAAAAACAGATTAAATTAGGGGAAACCAGATCAGATCTTTTCAAATAGTATGTTAACAGCATGACTTATGAGAGCATTCTTCACCATATCAACCTTTTCAACCCTATGACCATCACTAGGATTTACATGGAAACTAATCACAAGTCAAAGTAATGCATCGATGCTAAAGACAAACAAAAAATCCTAAAAACCCTTTTACTTCTTAGTCAAAGGCCTAAAAGCTGTTCACTTTTCAGATCTTCACATCTCGTATGTTCTCTTTTCCTCGAAGATTAATTGTCGAAATTATCACCCCAATTCTAGTTAGAGATAAACTTCTTGGGGACCCTATGATAAATAATAAAAGTAATATCTCACCGTGGTGAACACTTCCTGTAAATGGACTAGTACAAAGGCCTTCTTCCATCCGAACTGAGAGAAGAGGTTGAGGCGGGTGGGGTTGTGGATGAGTGCGGAGGGGTGTGTGCGGAAGAAGGTGGGGAACCTGTCTCGGTCAGAGAGTGCAGGACTGCTAGACCCATACGACACCTAAGAAAGAAAAGATATGGTCACAACGCCAAGTAATTACAAAACAATTCAAAGACAAGCGAAGATTACTTAACTGAAACATTTTAATAGCATTGGATATATGATCAATTTTCGAACTTTTCATTTAAACTGGCTCCAAACTCTAATTCATGTCCCAATGCTAAGGGCGAAACAATTTTTTTCCAAACTTCAATGCGAAAATTCAACCTCACTACCTAATGCTGAAGTTCAAAAAAGTTGCTTGCATTAAAAATCTTACATTCAAATTAATTAATTAGCAAAATTACCTGGTTAGCATCTTATTGTCGATCCACATTGCTGCAAAATGCATGCTTTAGAAAGCATCATTGTCATGCATTTTTTCGACACTCTTCAAACACAAATCGGCTAAAATAGGAGCAAACTCTTTATTTTCTGCAAACACAATTCAAAGGTAATCATTTTAATGAGCATGAAATTCAGGGAATGTGTTACAACTAGTGAACTAACAATTATGTTAATAGCTGGCAAGACTTTTGCATCAGTAGCACACAGGAGCAGATGTAGGATTTCCGAATAGAAGAAGGATTTCCGAAAAATCCATCTTTATTATTTTAGGTGCTATAACTTGTTTACCCAACTATTTTGCAACTTGTAAAACCCTGCTTTGTTTAAGCATAGCGCGGTTGTACCACTTTGGTTAAAACGGGCCAGATATGCCATTTTGTATACCACTGCTATCCAATACTCGAAACTGTACTTCAAATCGAAATTTTTATTCAAATCATAAAAAATCATTGCTATTCTAAAAAAAATCATGCTCAAAAGAAGCTGCTATGCATCAATATTAACAACATCTAGCTCACCATCAGCACATTCCATAAATGGGCAGCCTCAGCCACTGCAGTTGAGACGGAGCTACATCCAGGGCCCAGTATAGCCGAGGGCGTGTCAGGCGATGACTCATACAGAAAGTCATACAAGTCTTTCACGCCCTTTCCAGGTTCACACTAAAAACGACACCCGCAACTTAAGTTGTCTGCAGATTGACCAAAGCACTTTCTTCAATTATTTTTAGCAGATTTTTCAAAAGATAAGAAACGTTTTAAACATGTTTTAAACAAAAACAAAACAATGAAATCATATGCAGTCAATGCGCCGCACTTTTCCCAGTTGAGTGCTCTTTTCATTTCACTTTCAGTAGGATCGACTCCGAAAATTCAATTACTACTATCAACTTTAGGGCTACAAAGAAAAACACATTTTTTTCCAACTTCCAGTAGTTACGACTACTGAAAGTGGAGAGGAAATTTGCATTCGATTGCCTCAATTTTATCCAGGCAAAATCAGTTACTTCTAATAATCATCAGAATGGGTCAAAAAATACCATATTAAAGCCCATTCAGTCATATGATTTTTTTCCAATATATTTATCGGTGTCCAGGCTTGCTCTTATGAGTGAACGTACATAAGTGTTGGTGACTTGCAACTTCAGTTTATATCCATCCACCAGAGACCTCGAGGGATGACAGTTCACGTGTGCCAAGGCCAACTGAGCCGCCGGGAAACACGACACTCCCCCGTCCCAGCTCCCGTTGAGGGGAAACATGGCCCCTATGTTGATGAACTTGGTACCAGAGGAAAAATTTTCACACTTATCTGGGAGTATATCATCTTTGCTATATTCAGCCAAGCTCACTTGAGTCAATAAAACAAATAGAGCGTGAACAAAAACGTTAAGTGAGGCCATTGTGACCAAGTGACTGTCCCGCTTTTTCAAGCTGCTTCTTGACAGGTATGTGTTAATGTACTTCTCATTGTCGGACCTGAAATCATCAACTACCATTGATGTGAAACAAATGATAAGCGAGAGTCGCTCTGTTCGCGTAAGTTTACAATTATCATCGAAGTCAAAAACGTCACGCGAAAAACATTGGTGCATAACAACAAAAAGCAATGCTGAATGTAAACTATCTTTATCTGTAAAACAGAGCAAAATAACTTGCCTTTAACGAGCAACGTAAAACACCACTGAACGCATTGTCAGCTACACCAGTCTCTTCTGGATTAAAAACTTGATTTAATTGTATCAGTCGACTTTGCCTAAAACGAGTCAATCTCCATTCGATCACTCAATTATCAAATGCTCCAAAAATATTAATCTTTAGTTTTAATTAGTTTATTCTTACGTATTTTATGTTTCAATTTAACCACCATCCCCAAAATGCAGTCTTCACAACGAAACATTAAGACGTACAGTCGACTTTTCAAACCCAAAAACTGCAAGACGGAAGGAGGCAAATACACCAATAGCACTATTCGGATAGGTTCGTGATTTAGAAATTATACAACCCTATAAGCACTTTTACTACGGTAAATCCTGGGCCCGAACTACAGCCACATTTAAAACGCATTTTTATATTAGAAACCAGTGATATCCATTTAAAAAAATCAAAATTAAAATTGTTCAAGAAAATTATAAAAAATGGTGGTATCAATTTGCATGTTTTCGCTGAAGTCTGTTTTTTGCTAGCTTAGGGCACTTTTCGCAATTTTGAAAAAGAAATCGAAAGTAATATTGTCGTTAAAACTCAGATTGTTTGCGTTTTACGCGGAACTATGAAATGTGAAATTAATTGGCACAAAAATCTGTGTACTTTGGCGTAGAATTGAATCCTGCTCGGGCAACTTTATTTTAAAAAAATTAAAGGTCTCGATTGAAGTTAAAATTTTTCACTTAACCTGAGTGGCCTCAAAATTTTATGTTTAAATTAATTGAAATTTAAATGAAAATATGAATTAACTTCTGGGTTTTCAAATTGATATCACCGTAATAAACGCATTAAAAAGGATAGCCGGTTGCTGTGCGAGCAGCACATAACGTTCCGGCCATATTCTTAAAAACTACAAAGAATAAGTTATTTGAAATTAGTTAAAGACTAGATTTTAATAACTAAAGACTAGATTTTAGGCATTTTCAATTTTCATAGTGAAATAAGCATATTGGAAAACAGTTTCCTTCGAAAATGACTTGAAAAATAATTGAAATTTTGAAGTTTTCATCCGCAAGATTTGTTACAAATTAAGATTGAGACTTTTTTGATAAAATTAGTTCAATTTGAATAAGCTGGATCAACAGGCAAAGTTTTCCTTAGAGAGAATTTGCGTAGACTTCGAACCTGCGACCTAGAAATTATAAATCTCACAGCCTAACCTCTCAGCCACGGATGCTTAACAATCGGCAAACACTAGCCACAAATAAAGCACACAACAGATGTTATGAAATTTCTAATGCTACATACAGATCGTGATTATAGCAAAAGCGCACTTTTATTTGCAAGTTAGGTTGGCATTAAAATGTTCATGCTAATACACTACGCAAGCTCGCTAGTGTGAAACATAGCCACCTGACAGTTGGAAAAAAGAAATGAACGCAAGTAAACTGTAAAAAAACCGACTGGTTTTTCAAAACTTCAAAACTTTTAAGTTTCGAAGAAAAAAATAGATGGCCTTAAAGCTCTTTGACTTTGTAGAAAAATTTATCATGGACATTTTTTTGTTAATATTAACTCAATTTGAGAAAACTGGATCAATAGGCGAAACTTTTATTTCACTGGGAAATTTGATAATTAATTTGATTATACTAACTTCTAGGGAAAAGCGTGCGCCGAAAAAACGCAATTTTTTTGGTCGAAGTTTTCCAAAAAGTGCCGAATAACGTTTTTTGACCTGTTTTTCAAGACTTCGACTGCGACATAGTCTTCTAAGAGCTTCGGGAGAGCTCAGAAAATTAGATTGGTCGACCTAAAAAAAGTCGACGAAATTTTCGGAAATCTCCCCTCCTCGAGAAAATCCTAGATCCCCCCTGGAACTTTGTGTTCGAGTCGATTGATTTTCAGCCCATTTTGAAAATCTCAATGAAAAATGATTCAAATGCAGTGTCACATTTAAGCCCTATGGATCGTGATTCAGATTCTACAGAAAAAAAAAACAAAAAAAATCTGTGTGAAGATAATCTATTTTTTTCTATTTACTCCAATTATCGCTTAAAGAGTTCTTTTATTTTAAATTCAATTTTGCTCTAAATTTGACCCGGCTATCAAAACACAAAAGCCTCAATTCCATCCTTTATATCCGCTAAAAAGGGTTAAAAAAAGAATACCAAAAATTAAAGTTACGAAAAAAAAACATTTGAAAACATTGAAGAGATAAAAAATGCGTCATAAAAAATGGAAAAAACTTTTAACAAGATAAGCTATAATAGGTCACATTTTGACCTTTTTCAAATTTTTTTAAATTATAGGCACAGAAACATATCCGTACATATTTTTAAAAAAAAATTCAGAAAACAATAGGATGGCCTCAAAATAAGGTTACACAAAAAACACATAAAATTACGCAAAAGTTCAGTTAAGATTCCACAAAAAGGCAGGGGTGGCTCAAGGATTTTATCGAGGTAGTCCAATTGATTTTCTTTGCTCTTCCAAATTATTACTAAGACCCTATTTTGGACTAATTTTCTGCGCCGAAGCCGATTTTTTGAAAAACAGGCCAAAAACAAGTTTTTAAGCTTTTTCGAAAATTTTAGACCAAAAAGTTTAGATTTTCGGCGCGCTCTCCCCTTCAAAAGAATTAAATAGGCGTTTTTTTAAAATTAGGCCGGTCATTTAACAATGGATGTCTCAAAATTGTACCAAGGAGAGGCCCCCACCCCCTAAGTCTGCTACTGTAAATGAGTATTCATTAACAGAGAAAAGGACACCCCCGCGACTCTATTCAACGGATAAAACTCGAAAATGAAATTTAATTTTTCTCTAAATAGGTTTATCATAGTAAAAAAACTATCACAAAAACTTATCAAATTTTTTCATAGGAATTGTGGGGAAACAGAACTCCAGAAAATCACATTGTTAGCGGTCTTATTATTTATTCATTTAAAATTACACAAGAATTGCCCGTCTAAAGGCTCAAAGTATCTAAAAGCTCTGATGAGAAAATGTATCAAAGCATTGGACGCTGGTTAACAGTAATGTTGGAAACGCAAAATTCACCTTGAATGGCGCTACAAACCGCACAAAAGATAAATTCTTAACGCTAAAAAGCAGAATTTGAAAACGACGAGAAACAAATAATTGAATAGAAATCATTTGCCGTATAAACAGTCAGTTATGTAAAACTTATCCAACAAAATTCAACTAAAACGAAACAAAAAACCCTATAAAAAACAAAGATAAACAAGAGTCCTCGTATCAGGGCGGAGCCTTGGATGTTCCGACAGCCTTTTAAGGTTTATGGAGCAGTAATAACATAAAAAAATTAAATGTAACAAAATAAAATGAACAACTTTTTCTTCTAAAATTTGAGATTTTTTGGAAAAATCATCCCCCCACACGCCTTATCAAGTACAAAGTGATAAATTTCTCCCCTAGTAACAATTCAATTATGCCAAATAAGTTTCTTTCGACCCGAAGAAAAAAAACCCACCCAGAGCACAAATATTCCGTTACTTTCGTTACGAAAGTCGGAAAAAAGCGACAGCCTGTGAAAAGGCGCATTGGCAAGAAGCGACCACTTTCTCCGCTGCGCTGACACTCGGCGCGAAAGGTATTTTGCGCGAATCAGTGTTTGTCGCTTAATCACATGTTCACGAATTGTCGCCTTTTGCAATGCAATATATCTTTAAAAGGTTTTCGGATGATTCGAGGAAAATTAGGGCGGGTCTAGGATTTTCTCGAGGGGAGAACTCTCAAAAAAAATCAAAAATATTATCAACTTTTTTTAGATCGACCAAATTGATTTTCTGAGCTCTCCCAAATCCTTATAAAGACATTAGTTTGACCAAAGTTTCTGCACCGCAGGCAAATTTTTCAAAAAAACAGGCTAAAATGTGTTTTAGGCGCTTTTTGAAAATTTGGACCAAACAATCGCGCTTTTTCGGCGCGCGCTCCCCCCTCAAATTAAGTATATACTAGCGTTTAACGCACCTCCGGTGCTTCGAATTTTTTAGACAGCTCAGGAAAAACCGCATATATTGGAAAACAAATCTGCAAACTTTTAGTGTAATCTGACTGCACCCAATTACATGGTTGGTAATTTCTAACTTTTTAAATTTTTTAAAATCCCATTTTAAACGCGTCATCTCGAAAACTTAATGGGCCTCTGGAGAAATTTGGAGGCCAAATTTGCAACCACTGAGAGCCCCTGATAGCACCCTACTATACGGTTGGGAATTTCAAATTTCGTGATTTTTTTTTAAATTTAAATTTCCCGACAAAAATTGAAAAAATCACAAAAAACGTCTTATGTCGGAAACTAAAATGATTTGAGCATTCATAATTAGAGTTAAGATTTCAGACGCCTGGGTATACGCTGACAATAAGGTTGTGTCTTCATCAAGAGAAATTTTGAAAAAATCAAAAAAAAATCACATCTCGGAAACTAAAAGCATTTGAGCAGTCGCATTTGAGCAATCGCATGTGGCAAGATTTCTAACTCCTGAGAGTGCCCTGAGAGCACTCAACTACAAAGTTAGGAATTTCAAATTATGAAAAAAAAATATTTCAATTTTCTGAATTTTTTTAATGAAAAATCACAAAAAACGTCATATCTCGAAAACTGCAAAGATTTGAGCAGTCATATTTAGAGGCAAGATTCGCAATCCTTGATAGTACTCTGACAGAACCCAACTACAGGATTGGGAATTTCAGATTTTAAAAAAATAATAATAATTTAAATTTTTTGAAAATTTTTGAAAAAATCACAAAAAATGTCATATCTCGAAAACTACAAGGATTTGAGCAGTCATTATTGGAGGCAAGACTCGCAATCCTTGATATTTCTCTTACAGCCCCTTGATATTTCTGATAGTACTCTGACAGAACCCAACTACAGGATTGGGAATTTCAGATTTTAAAAAAATAATAATAATTAAAATTTTCTGAAAATTTTTGAAAAAAGCACAAAAAACGTCATATCTCAAAAACTACAAGAATTTGAACAATCATATTTGGAGGCAAGATTTGCAACACCTGAGAGTACCCTGACAGCACCCAACCACAGGGTTGGGAATTTCAAGTTTTGAAAAAATCACAAAAAACGTCCAAAAACTACAAAGATTTGAGCAGTCATATTTGGAGGCAAGACTCGCAATCCTTAATAGTACTGACAGTACCCAACTACAGGGTTGTGAACTTCAAGTTTTTTAAATCATTTTGTAAATTTGAGTTTTATTTCGTTAGCTAAAAAAATTTGGCCATTCAAAGTAGGTGAATACGGACAGCATACCAATATTGGGCTGCTTAATTTAAACTCGGTGAATAAAACACTAAAATCAAGTCGAAAATCAAAAAAAAAATCTTAACCATTGCAATATACGATATAGCTTAAACATGCAAAAATAATACGTTGAAAAAGCTTAAACATGGCGAGATAGTGAAGCCCGCATTTAAATATATAATAGATAGATTGGCGCCAAAGGCGCCTTTAGAAAAATTTTGGGGTCCGTCAGCCAAAAATGGATATCTCAAAATAGTTCAAAGGTAACAGTCCCCCCTTAAATCCGCCCCTGGGTGGGAACATTCAGTTTCATTTGCACGGCGACAAGCTAATTTTGTTTCGCTTGAGCAATTATTTGCTTATTGCAGAGCATCAAGGAAAAGAGCGGAACTTCAACTTCTTGGAAGTGTTCCAACCTGACTGCAGTCAGAGTCACATATTCAATACAGTCGCAGTGCCAATCATAGATCGATGTCTGGAAGGAGAAAATGGATCCATCATAGGTTAGGATAGAAGAATTACACACAAATTCGAACCACCAAGTAGTTTTCTTCAAAAGGAAAAATAATCAGAAGATAATGAAAAGAAGCTGACTTAACAATGAGCCATGTGGCCTTTAAGAAACTTTTTTGGCGATAATTTTCTTTTAATAAGATATGCAAACTGTGTCTTGTTTTAAAGGTAGGATGTTCGTAAAAAAGAGAAAAGGTAGAAAAATTCATAAATTGGACCACGCCCCGAGAAAAACATTGTTGTAAAGTTCTATATTATAGACTGGGTCGAAAGCTTCTTAAGATCAAGAAAACTAAACTGCGTTGACTTCTTTCGAGTGTCCCACTCAAGGACTGTTTCATCAAGTGACACTACGGTGTCAATTGAAACTTGAAATTCCCTGAAGCCAAATTGCGTTTTTTAATACTTTGAATCCTTGAAAGCAAAAATCAAATCACAAAAAAAAGAAAACAGTAGCGCAGAAACGAAACTGAGTTTTGCACTCCTTTCAATCTAAAAATGAATCACTATGATTGCAATCGATAGAAAAAAAAGAAAAACAATTGAACGAAACATCATTTTTATTAACAGAAACTATATTTTAAAAAATTGCCTCAAAAACCCAAAAAAAAACAGAAGCCAAGTTCCCTGCTTCATGGAAAATTTGGAAGGAAGTTTCGAATTGCTAGAAAGAAGCGAAATTTTCAAAAGAATACTTCTAAGGAATTAAGCCGACAAAAACAAGCGGACAGATAACAACCTAAACTAGCCCAAATTTTCCAATTTGCAAAGAAACAGGTCTCGACTGCAATCGAAACCCCGTGGCTCTGTCGTCTCAAGCGTGGATACTACAATTACAAAAACTGAAACTCAATACGGACGAAGCTGAGCTTCGCACCACTTCGATACAAAATAAAATGTTAAAAATCAAAAGATAATATTTTCGATTTTGGTTTGAGACATTAAATGAATTTTATTGAAAAAAGCGGAAGCAATCACCTGGTACATATGATAAATTTGAAATATATGAAATTCGTTAATTTATTTCTCATAAACAATAGATGGAAACAAAAAGAAAGAAATGGAAACGAAAAGATGGAGATCCAAAAACTTCTTAACTTACTCAAAAACTTTGCTTAAAATCATGCAACCAGACAACCGGCCGGAAAAATTGGGGATAAGAAAAGAACCTATCCGTTATTTGCTATAAAGTAAGATCAAGACGGAAAACTTAAAAAATGAATTCTAAAGTTTAAAACAATTGCCGCAAAAAACTTGCAGAAAATACGAAAAAATTTTTCCTAACATTTCAGCCAAAAAGAACAAACTTTCTAATCTCGCGCGATATGCGCAATATTTATCGGTAGACAAATCAGTCAAATTAAAATTAAAAAAGAAATTTGGTATCACCAAGATATTTTTCGAAAAAAAATTCGACATATGAAAGCAATACGCTATGCCATCAACTTGAATCGATTTAAAGTGATACTACAAGGTGATCGACTTGAAGTGACACTGAACCAAAACGACACTAAGCCAATTAATGCAATTAAATCTACGCAATTTCAGAAGAAAAATAAATCAGAAACCTTGCTTCCGAAAAAAAACTGAAAAAATAATAAAGAAAAATTTAGCAGAAAGTTTCAAAATTCCGGGAAAACATGAACAACATTTGACTTGACAGGTAATAAAAAAAGTTTTCAAAAGTTGGAGATTCTGCGAACAAAGTTCTTTACGGGAAAGAGTCTAGTATCTTGATTGCAATACCTTTGCTTACCGTAAGGTTAAAAAAAGTCCAGCTATGGTCTAAATGTTTTACCTCTGCGCCAGATGTTTAATTACCAAGCGGTAACAAAGCCAAAAACCGTTCATGTCGAAAAAGCTCAAATTCAAACTCGGTTAAAATTTAACAATGAAATTTTAACAATTCGAAGGGGTAAAATGACAACAGGCAAAAACAAATAAATCTCGATAAAGCCAAATAATTAAAATGCTATCATCATCAAAATATGTCTGTTGCAAACGAAAGGCCAGTAGATGAATGAGTTCAGGAGATAAGTCCAGTGAACTAGTACCCAATTGCAAAACCTTTGCTTATCGCAAGGGTAAAAAACTTTACCCTTGCGATAATCCTGTTGACAAAGAATCCTGTTGACAAAGTTGTCAGTGGTAAAAAAAAGCCTCGCACCCGATTGCAATACCCTTGTATCACAAATTTAAACAGGATTCTTTTCATGCCAAAATTCTGAGACAGATAATTGACTTATTACTGTTCTTTTAAATTTCATTAAAAATCTAGCAAGATAGAGTTTTAGCTTACGGCTACACAGGCACGGGGAAAACACACACAATAGAAGGCAGTTGGGACAACAAACAGTCCTTCACAGAAGGAGCTGGTCTCGGTTAGTTTAAGAAACATTACATCAATTTTCCATGTCCAATTAGGAAAAACGCCTTACTTTTTCAATATTTTTATGCTTTTAACCAAAATAGTTCCTATTTCTTCTTTCGAAGTAGTTGAAAATATCAATTCCGAAGGCATTTAGGGATCATTCCAAAAAAATTACCGCGTCTCAAAGGCGATGATATGGTAAAAACAATTAAGAGGGTATTGATGAGATTGATCCCAACTGTTCTAGATTTCATTACATGCTTTAGCTCGGAGATGCATTTCAACCCTTTTTCAAAGACTGGCAGGCTCTTCTGGCGTTGAGATTAGACTATCATTCGTAGAAATCTGGATGGAGCAGATCTTTGACACGATGCTACTTAACACTAAGAACAAAGACAAGAGCAACTTCCAGAGAGTCAATGTTGAAAGGCTGGATTCGACACTCAATAAACCTATTTGTCAATCTGAGGCAAGTTATTCCTGGACAATGTGAATTGATCTTCACCATTACAAGAAAAAACAAGAAATTAAGGAAAATTCTGGGTTACATAGCAAAAAATAGCCAGGCCATAAAGTCGACACGTAGTAAGCCAATCAGAATCGAGATAAAAAAAAACAAACGTACAAAGTCAAAAAAATATATATTTTTTGCTCCGACCATTTGAGAAAGGTGGAGAACTTTTGCATCCGGGTGTTTTTTAGTTTTCTTTTTTTACTTTTTTTGCTTTCCACGCAAAACTAGGTACCAATAGTCATCGCACTGGGCTGAGTCATATATCATATTAAAGCCCTTTCAGTCGTGATTCGCCTGACATTATTTAAAATATTTGATTTGAAATTTCTGATTTTTGTTTTGATTTCAATCTAATAAGGTGAGCGTCCAGGCCTACAGTAGCTTCTTTATGCTTAATTTATGCCGTAAAAAATTAATTAACTTTTTGAAGTTTTTAGCGCCATTTTTGATTTATTTGCATTTTTGTTTGTTTTTCTAATCATTTTTCTACGAAAATTGTTTTCCAATTGGCTTATTTTGCTATGACTGTCGAATGGGTCTAATTTCAATTTTTTTAAGACTACGGTCGGAACCGGCTATCCTTGTTATTCATGCGTACAGTTGTTTTCTTTTCTCGATTCTGCTTGACTTATGACGTGTCTTTTTTGACTTGTCTGTTTTTTTTACCGCATTCCAAAATTCTTATCTTCTTCATTGAGTTACTTATTGATTAAGCTTCAATAAACGTAATGAAGCCACTAAAATAGGTCATGCTTATTTTTTTCAAGAAAATTTATTCTCGCCGAATTCGATCTGTTGCAGTTTTGAATTCTTTTTAAGTTCAATTCAATTCGTTTGCTAAAAGGAATGTAAATTGCGCTCCCCAATTTCGAAAATGCAAATCAAACACAAAAACGGGAATGACTTTTAGGTTCGAAGAAAGATTTTAATTTTTAGATTTCCCGTCGGAAAAAAACTTTAACCAGTTTTCTCAACTTGGGTTATTTCATCAAAAAAAAATTATCAAACTTAAAATGTTCAAAGAAGGCCATAATTTTTTTAGAAGTACGAAAGATGAAGTTTTCTCAAAAAAACAAGGGACTAATTTTGACTGTTTCCTTGCGTTCATTGTCACTGTCTGTTGGCTATTTTCAGTTACTAATAATCGAGTGGTGGAAAAATCTGTAAAGTTCAAGTTTTTTCTTGCTGAACAATTGTTTTCAGGAGAATGCGCATGTTCTGTATACCACCGCCTGTCTCAATCGGACAGTTAAATCGACCTCACATAACATGAGGTCATCTCGATCTCATGGAATTTTCACAATTTACATCAAAAGAAGGACAACCTCAACGCCGGATTCTACTGGGTAAATTCTCACAATCATTTCTCATTTAGGTCACCGCAACACTAAAAACAATTCAATTCAAAGAATACTAGAAACTATAACCGAATTGGAAAATTCAATGAGTCTTATTTGCGCTAACAGGTTGAGTGTGGAATCAAAACTGAACTTGGTCGACTTGGCAGGAGCCGAGCGATTGGGTGACTCAGAAGGCGTAACTGCAGAGGAGGCAAAGAAAATCAACATGTCATTAATTGCACTCGGTAAATTTAGAAACTAAAGAATTTATAATGTCGAAAAATCGAAACGAAAAACTTGTTCTCTTTAGGCAAAGTAATCGATGATTTATCAGAGAGAAAATCCTTTATCAACTACAGGGACTCAAAACTTACTCAGATGCTACGGGATTCACTCGGAGGTTTGAATACATACTATTTTTATAAAACGTCACTTTAAGCGGACAATTTCTATGACCTCTTTTTAGGCAATAGTAATACTGCGCTGATTGCAACCATGAACACAGATATTTCTCGGAAAGACGCTGCGCTACGAACATGCGAGTTCGCAGCGAGAGTTTCAGGGATAAAGCTCACTGTGACTAAAAATTACGAAACCAATTTATCTAAGGTATATACGTTTCTAACTAGCCATAAAACACATCGTAATATATGTTTTATTGATGTTACCATGCTTCTTGATTTGAAATTTTTAGTCCGCAATTGAAGACATGCAGATTCAATTAGCAAAGCTGAAAGCAGAAAATGAGCGACTGAAAAGAGAAGTTAACGATCTGAGAAGCAACAAGTATCCGTCTGAAATGCCTCAGAAAGTTGAATCAGTGCAAGTTGAGCCAACGCTAGAAGCTCCAGTAGAAAAACTAATAGCGAAACCAGTCACTAAAAAGAAACAACCTGTGATAACTTCACAACCAGTGCCCGCCAAATCAGAAAAGCCTGCTACAGTTGCAAAAAAAGACGATTCGATACCCCCACCACCGCCTCCCCCTGAAGATGAACCTCCTTTCGAGGAGGAATTCTACAGAGTAGGTACATCTAGTCACGGGATCTTAGATCGAATCGACAGCAATAAAGCTCTACTTTATGAGGCAACAAGATCATCCGGTAAAAAGGTTGCGAAGATTTCTATTCTCGAAGGTAAGCATTGCATTCAATTACCAAAAAGATGTGGTCGGAAAGCAGAAGACCGAATTCCGTATACATTGCTTCCTTGTAATTTCATCTTAAAAAATTTTGTTTGTTTTGAAGATTGTTGAGCAATCGGAAATTTTGCAATTTGAAGGTAGAATGATGTTTCAGGCCACATCGATATTTCCAATCCCTGCAGCTAGATACAAAAAATATTCAATGCGTAAAAACTGTTTCAGAGCTCATTGGCGAAACCCAAGACTATATTGAAAGTATTTCATGGCAGATTGATATCCTGTATCGACAAATCTGGGATGCCGAAAGACAATTACATTCACTCTACCAGACCAAGTCCAAACTTAAGCGAGATGATTCCGATGAAATAATTATTTCTGCATTGCAAGACCGCGAGAGAAGTATTTTAAACGGTCAAGGAGACTGCGCTTTGATGTAAACTTATAGTAATTCTTTGTGTAATGATTTGACTTGCGAAAGCATAAAAACATATTGATGTACAATTTCTTTATTGCTGATGGGCCCAAAGGGCCATTAATCGCCCAACCAGCTAAATTCACTCCTTGACTCATTGCTTGAATTTGTCTATTTACTTTTGTTTGTTCGTGTCCGATGAAAACTCTTTTTTCAATTATCTCAACCTCTCAAAAATTCTACTCAATTTTGAGGAAAAAGTACAGCTGGACAAAAACAATTGCAAAAAATGAACTATTTTGACCAAATGACAAAAGCAAACATTTCTCAAAAGTAGATCAAAAACTTCGTTTTTCACCAATAAATTAAACAAATAAGACATTGAACGTAACAGTATAATCAAAGAGGAATTAACAAGTAACTTACAAACGCCTTCGCAACAACGTGAATCGTATTAACACTGAACTGATCTAAAGGACTGTAAGAGTCGTTCACTTAAACCACATATGAGGTCACGAATGAGAGGCTCTATAGTCATTGTCTAAAGAGCCACAGACACTATCTCTCGGGCTCTTACACCTAAATTTATCGAGTCTAGGACAACAGGTCGACGGGACTTCATACCGAGATTTAAACTTCACAAGCACCTTAAAACGCTAAATTTTCATCTGTAAAATGTATCTTCTCAAAATCTTAGGCAAGTTCAGTTCATATTAAGTTCAAAATTATTTTCTTCTAAATTATATATATTCGCTTGAAGTCTAGTCGGTTTGATGTCGGGCACCAATTCTGTAGGAGCCAAATCGCGTTTCGCTTAGACAACGAACTTTAGAATTGTTGAAGCTTAAAGACCACTACCAAAATGCTACCCCCATTCTGGATAGAAAAAAGAACACCCCATTGGCCAGATCTCTAGACACCTTAAACAAGCAAATGTCAATAAAAACAGGGTTGAGAACTTTCTTAGTTTTTCCTAGAAAGTATGTACTTGATCCGTTTCTGAATTCTGATGGATCAACCGAAAATTCACCAAATCTCAGCATGATCGGACAGAATAGGCTCAAGTAAATAGATTCAGTAAATCTAGGAAAAATGGTAATTGTATAATTAATACCAGCAATGTAAATAATCTAGGTGTAAATACACTGACGAAGCTGGAGAAAATTGTCAATTTGAAACAATAATCGATATTTCGTCAGGCCGCATGCTGTTGTATTTGGGTTCGATTAATCCAGTCAATTATAAAATAACGTCATAGCTGAGTTCAAACTGAGGAACACGCTATTGAAGATAGTCTCTGCAGATAAGCAGACTATCGCTCTATAGTATGACTTTACCAACGATACAATTAGTCACTTCATCGGAAAAGTTGTTTTCAGAGTTCAGTCCAAAGAACGGACGTGCGAAAAATCAATTTTCCTAGATTCCGGTCACGAGAGGAACATTCTAAAAAACGACAGTTAACCGAAGGTAGGAATGAAAAGGCACAAAGACCATGCCTGCAACCAATCAATAAAAGACGCTACCTGATTTCGGCAATGTAGCATTCGCCCGGAAGTAGATACCGACGGAAAATAAAGCTAGGTCCAAAAACGACTGGCTGGCGTATAAACACAGCTTCACATGCTTTAAACCATCTCTACCAAAGCCAGTTCAATGTGTGGTCCAATAAAATCGGGCCGAAAATATCGTTACTATTAAGGCTATCGGCCAGATCGCGCAAATTAACTTAGTTACATGCAAAAATAGTGAGCTCATGGCTGGGTCTCATGTGCCAGTCGGTCATATTTGGAAGTTTGACCTTGAGAAAAACGTTAAGTCTTGATTTTGTGATGAAGTGCAATTTTTCAAAAATTCGAATTGAGCATGTCATGCTCAAGTTTCTCGCGACAACTGAAACTATCAGAAAAATAAGATAAGAAGATTCGAACTACAATTGCTGGAAAGTAGTCAAAAATAGCAGCGGGAAATTGCTATTCGCAATTTCTAATAAATAAATAATTCGAACGAAAGTAGAGCTGTCCTATTCTTGGCATGAGACAGAAAGTAATAGCGAGTGGAGGGTCAGTAAACTCGAGTGGACCAGAGTGAACCTTCGGTGGAAAGGTGGACAACCGAAGTTGCCCAATGGTCCGGACCCAAAAATTATTTCTTGAGCTTAAACTTATTCATTACAACCTTCTCGAGTTAAACTCAATTTTCAATCAATTCTAGAGTTGCTTTTCAGTTTAGTTACTCAATTCTAGAGGTCGTTTCGGTATGTGAGTACCTAATTTAATTTTCTTCAGTGTGTTTTATAATGTTATGTTAAGTTAGGGAGAGATTTTAGGTTGATCCATCTGAAATGCTGAAATAGATCAAAGGTCCACTGTCTAATGAAAAGTAACTTTGCATAAAGTTCCGACCCTGTTTTTAACGGCGTTCGCGTATTTCAGGTATTTTGAGACCTGAGTATGAGGGCGTCTTTATTTTCTGGAGTGTGGGGGGGGGTTTCGTAGTGGCCTCTAAGCTGTAACCATGCTCCGACCGCTTGAGGTAGAAAAATGCAAGAGATAGTGTCCCTGACTCTTGTGCCAATGGTTAAAGGGCCTATTTTTCTTTAACCTCATATATGACTTAAGTAGGCGACTGTTACATCAGTATACCAAGACCAAAAGGTCACTCCTAGTAACAGGGCTACAACTTGTTATCATAATTCTATTGTTTTTGTTCAGTAGATAAAATACATCATATCCATCGGAGATGGATCAACCCTTTCCCTCAACTCCTAGCTTCTCTCATCCGGAAATAGAATTAGATGTTAATTAAATTGAGTTCAAGAAGATAAAAATTGTTCGAAAACCAGATTCAGTCTCTTACCATGACCCTTCCGGATTATCGGATCCGGTCAAAGAAGAAGTGTAACTTCAAGTCTTCTAAAAAGACAATAATACAATTATAAAAACATGAAAAGTATCAAAAGACTTAAAAGAAAATATATGTACAAAACAAAAAAGTAATTCTTCAAGTACGAGAAAAGAAGCTGTCACATTTCGACCCAGAGACGTCTGGGTGGGCCCAAATGGTATAAATGCGACAAATCGACCCAGAGGCGTCGGGTTGGTCCCAAATTGATCCGGATAGAATTAATATGACAGAAATGCGATAAATCGGCCCAGAGGCGTCGAGTTGGTCCCACATTTATCCGGATAGAGAGAATTTGATAGAATTGCGACAAATCGACCCAGAGGCGTCGCGTTGGTCCCAAATTGATACCGATAGAGAGAATATGTTAGAAATGTGACAAATCGACCCAGAGGGGTCGGGTTGGTCCCAAATTGATCCTGATAGAAAGAATATGTTAGAAATGCGACAAATCGACCCAGAGGCGTCGGTTGGATTCCAAATTGATCCGGATAAACTGAATATGGTAGAAATGCGACAAATCGCCCCAGAGGTGACGGGTTGGTCACAAATTGATCCGGATAGAGTGAATATGGAAGAAATGCGACAGATCGACCCAGAGGCGTCGGGTTGGTTCCAAATTGATCCGGAAAAAGTGAATATGGTAGAAAAGCATAAAATCGACCCAGAGTCGTCGGGTTAGTCTTAAATTTATCCGGATAGAGTGAATATGGTAGAAATAAAACAGATCGACCCAGAGATGTCGGGCTGGTTCAAATTGATCAGGATAGAGTGAATATGATAGAAATGCGATAAATCCACAAGAGGCATCGGGTCGGTCCCAAAATGATCCGGACAGTGTGAATATGATAAAAATGCGACAAATCAGCTCAGAGGCGTCGGGTTGGTCCCAAATTGATCCGGATAGAAATAATATGGTACAAATGCGACAAATCGAACCAGAGACGTCGGGTTGGTCTCAAAATGGTCTGGATAGAATTAATATTGTAGACATACAACAGATCGACCCAGAGGCGTCGGGTTGGTTCCAAATTGATCCGGATAGAGTGAACACGATAGAAATGGATAAATCGACCCATAGGTTTTGGGTTCATCATATCCATTGTCGAAGAGCGGTCTTGTTACAGTCTAAGAAGGGTAGTTGAATCCTCCCAATACCCTATCGAATTCTCGGGAACTGCTCCGTAACAATTTTAGCTGAACAATCATTACAATTTGGATAGTATCAATTGTAATTTCAATCTTCTTCACGTCTATTCTTCACTGTCGAGAACCGTTGTTGTTTTTTGTAAGCAAAAATTGTTGTTCTGATACTCGCTTTTTTTCATAAACTGCAAAACAAGGTCGTGACGTGTCTTTAATTTCGAACCAGTTTTTAAAAATTACTTCGTCATTGCAAATTGACCCTACCTAGCTCGTGTGATTGATTAGAAAACACCGTTATTCCTTTCAAACAGACAATCTTCCCACTCAATGGTCACCACAAAATTTCGTTATTGCCATGCATTTCGGTCGCCACTCTGGTCGAATGTCACACAAGCCCCGGACAGCCCGCTCAATGTCCTCATTGAACCTTGTGAAATTCATTAAAATGGTACAGTGTCACAAAAAAAAACGCATGAAAAAAAACCTTTATCTGCATCATATCGACTCACTGCAAGCTACTATTGGCATCATACTACATCGCTATAGCCTTCTAACATTTTTAATCAATCTGCTCCCTGAGGGTATGACTTAAGATAAAATAACTTTTCTGACTTTCATTGCAATTATCTCGATTTAAAATTTCTTCTCCTAGGTTAAAAAAGGTGTTTTGACGAAGGACAATCCTGCCTCACAACTAACTAAAATTATCCTACTTACTTTCTTCGGAAATTTAGTTGTTATTGGTCCTGATTATTAAAATTAAGCAACTCGGCGACTAGAAGGAAAGAAACAATGAATTACCCTCTTCAAGAGATAACTCAAGTCTTTCATGTCACCACAAAGTGAAAAGTCATCTTAAATCAATTTAAAAATTCATGCAGGCTGGAATGTTTTAATATACTGTCCACTCAAGTCTCCCTAAAAAAAGCAAGTGTCTCTAATAATACTAACTAAAAGCACAATGCAAATTTATAAATGCATCAAATTTTAAACTCAAAAACAACTGAAATAACTCTTTCATTCAGTTTCAATTTCAAGATCAGATGCTTGGTTTCTCATATGAATTTTTCTCGCACAAAAACAATTCTGAGTTTAATTTCTTTCCTTTGT